TTACAGGCAAGACTCGTGCAGTGCATTCACCTGGCAAGAATCCAAAGCTTGTTTTATACCGAACTTTGGTCTCACATCCACTAAACTTCACTTCTACCACACAGGACCATTTTGTCATCAGGAAAAAACTAAAAACCCTGCAAAAAGCTGCATGGATTGCTGCTTCAAAGCAGCTCAGTGCATTTCACACTCCCTCGACTATTAATAACAAGATTGTAAGGAACAAGTGTTGTCCTTTTTTTTTTAACGACAAATTACACAGTAGAAGCTTTATTAAAACTAATAAATCATAAATAATAAATACATAATTTAAAACTGGCCCTTAAGGCTCTAGGTCATTGTTGGTACCAAACTTGTTACCTGCTGTATTTTTATATATGGTCGAAATGATCGCATGCGGGAATTCCTCAAGGAAGAAAAATTATTTTAACGGCACGCCTTGCTTGAAGCTCAAAGGTATGTTTGCCTTTGGTACTGTACTGTCATGCAATTAAAAGTTATTCCTCTCTATGCTTGTGTGATTTGTTTCTCATGTTCTCTATTTAATCTTAGCACTTGACTTATTTATAATGGTTGTGCTGTTTCATACTCAAGCATATTTTGAGCAAAACTTTGTTCAGTTAAGTTTAGTTAAACAAAGACGGTGGCCTTCAGACACCTTATGTGTGAGACAAGTAGAATAAAAGAAGAACTCAAGAGATTTACAGGAATGTACTGCTGAACCGAAAGTTTTAACTCATGTAAAGCTTGAAATAATACAAAGTTTATCATATTACTCATTCACATTTTTTTAAATTTGCTTTTTACTTATATGAACAAAAGAAGGCACATTTTAGTAAAACCAAAAACATAAAAAGATAATTATTTTAGGTTAAAAAAATCTTTATTTGACGGGATCCTAGTTTCCTGATACTGAATTTTATTTTTTATTTTATGGACAGGCAGCGTGACCTCTCGGCACTTGGACTAAGCTGCTGGTTACATTTTATTGGATGCTATAAATCCAAGTGAAGTGGAAAAGGCCGAACTGTTAACTGCTGTTACTTGTTTTTTTTTCAGAGGCTTTGCTTCTGATTTTCTTGACTTCTCATGCAACTGAATCAAATCCTTTATTAGGACTTTTGACCCTGTGTCAGGACATCTCAGTTATTTACATGTAGGCAAAGCAGGTTCATTTGCTTGTCCCACTTGTTTGCAATAGGTTGGTGAAAATGGGATCTCTCCATTGCTGGTGCAGTAGTATAAACAGTGCTTTGCATTGCACCGCACTGAATTGAATAATCTCCCAGCTGATTTGCATTGGAAACTTCTATGGCCTGTCACAAGCCAGTGATTGTGTGAGATCCCAGCATCCAGTCTTGTGATCTGTACTTGTACAGTGCTGAAGGGCATCAGATAGTTAATTAATTAAACAGACCAATGTGTGCAATTAAACTAAGTCTCTGAAATCCAATTACCCCCATATCGTGGCTATCTCACATGCACTAGATGAGATGGTCTTTTGGTTTAATCTGCTAATAAAAATAACTTAATAACCTAATAACCACCATTACACCCAATGTTTCTCGTTTTGGGTTCTTCCCAGTTAGTGGTTGTGCTGGAATGGGACAGTAAGACAAACAATCCCAGCTGTTTGACAGCGTACAAGCTCCTTTGATCCCTCTGATTGTTTCCCACCTCCAAAAAGGAACCATGAAATAGGACTCAGGCTTTTCTGATTAGTTCTCATAAAAGGCCCTCTATCTCTGTTGATATCTGGTGCATAGTACTTCTTGTGACCTTTTCACACATAAAACACAAAGTTTGCCAAGTGCTTTGGCATAAATATGAATAGCTAGCTCATGTAATGTGTGCTTTTTTGTCTCTAAAGGCAGGATTATGGTTACTTCTGACACATTGGCTCAATTTCATGTCAAGTGATTAGTGCTTAGTAATGTGCTTCTGGTGTCAAGGCCTGCAGTTGTTGCCATACAGCTCAATGTGTTAGCAACCATCAGCAATGCAAAATAACTTGTGTATGGCTTTCAGGGTGGCTCGACCAGTGGTGCCTAAATACTTCAGAAGCAATAAACTTTTGTTTCGTTCCCCCCATAACTCATTTTTCACTTAACTTGGGTCTTAGTCACACAGACTCAGAGGCCTCCTGGCAAAACATAAAACATTTACTTTGTAGGCAAACGGTCTCTGATTTATGACGTATTCTTCAGTTTCACAACTGCTTAGCATGTAGTTGAACATGATGGCATCTTCCCTGGAAACTTCAGGTGACTCCATCAATCTGCTGGTGACCAATACAATTGCAAAGGACCAACCAGTCTGGAAATACACGTTTTCCTCTTCGGCCGGTAGTTATCATGGGCTCACTGATCGGTCTTTAGGCCTTATTGTGTGACTGGGGCCTTAGTTTGTTTCCCCGTGTAGTCATACACACAGTCATATAATCGTTGTGAGGGCTGGTGAAGTACGAGAGTTGGCTATTCTCAGTCATCCAGCTCATGGTAATCTTGACAGCTTGAAAAAGAAAGCAACTAGACTTTTTTAGGCTAAAGGAGTCCAGCTGCTTTCTTCTTCTCGATATATTATTAAATAAATTAAAATGCTCTGAAAATACTACGAACAAGAGGTCACTCTCATAGAGATTGTTGACAGTTTGCAAATGCCGTCTGACAAATTGCCAGCATGTTTCCTCATTTTAAATGAGTCTGTTAATAAGCACAACTCGAGAACAGACTCCGCTGGCTTCTAGCTGGTTAGATTTCTGAGTGCAGATCTCAAAGTCAAAAATGTGAATTTCTTTTATATGTAAATTTATGTCTATGTAGGCAGTAACAGAGAAGTGATTTCTGACAATTTATCAAATACTGTATTATCAGAAAGAGACTGCATTTAATTGCTGATATATATCAAATTGATAATAAATTGATATCATTCTGAGGTCAGACTGACTCAGTTTTATGTTTTTTGACAAAACAACGAAACAATAACTGAAGTGAGATAACTTTATCTTGTGAGATAAACTAGATATTAACAGCTTAACATTGAGGACTTAATTTACAGTTGAAAAAAGGTGATAAATGACAATATGTGTTACGACCTAGGACCATTGTTTTTGATTGACAGCCATGATATGTCTCAAAATACTCAAAATTACAATGAGAAAAAAACCCTTATTTGCCAGTTAAATCCTCTGCTCCTGTCAACACATTCATTCATATAATCGGGTTTTAGCAGTGCACACTTTAGCTCTTTGCTTTTTGCTTTGTCTTTTTGATGCATGCTCATCCCCCCATCAAACTTCATCTGTGTTAAGACCATCATCTGAATACATGTAAAGTATGAGATCGCGACTTTGATCTGACTTTGTTGGTTCAGCACATCTCTCCTCGGCTCCCGCTCCAGTTAAACAAATATGTCATTTAGACGCCCGGGTGCGTCCTCGGAGTTCAGATGGTGTCATGGAGCGTTCGAGAGAGAGAGGATATGAGGACACACCTTCATATCAAACACATCAGCGTCTTGACACCATTGTGAGTTTGAAAAATGGTCCCATATGGGAGCTCTCTGTTGGTAGTGTCAATGTGGCCAAACAGGCTTTTCTCACCCTTGCCTCAGCAGATGTCACTGGAGGCAGTCCTCTCCTCTCCACTATCGTTACGCACCATAAAATCTTTTGTCATAGATTCAGTACGCAGCTTGTCAACACATCTGTCATTGCTCGACTCTCAAACGTCAACTGAATAACTATCTAATTATATCTAATTAGAAGCTAGTCCGAAGGTTTCTTTTTTTCTTTTGCAAACTAAGGTCATCAGTCAATGCTGTTTGGCTCTGGCCTGATAGCACTGGTGAGCCTGATAATGATATTACTACACAGATTCTGTCTGATTGCTCGCCTAGACCAGAATTTACAGTGTGGAAAGATAAATAGAAAACGGCACAGGCGCGTCAGTGTGCGTGCACCATTTTCCAGCCTGACATTAGTTGTAAGCTCCTTGAGAGTGTGACCTTTTCCATCTTGAGTTGATAGGTGCACTAATCTTTCCAGCTTTGGGGCCTCTGTAGGTCCCTGCTCCTGGGTCATCGAGCTAAGTGACAAGCCATAGGTTGATGGAAAATCCATAGCATTACTGCCATACATTACTTTTATTTGATTGGGCCTGTAGTGAGCATAATGCAATGCTGAGGTGGGGGCGGGAGCTGGTGAAGTAGCGTGGCTCCATTCGGGTCCAGGGATCATTTGTAGCCCCCACCACTCACCGGGCTGCGACAATGATGTATAGCTCGCGCCTGACATCCATAGGGGCGACCCTGTGAGTGCTTGTGAGTGCTGTAAATCACTCGCTGGTATTGATTTTCCATTAGAAGTCAGCCACTCTGAGCACCTCTGACAGGGTGCTCACAAACACCTCCCAATGTGTAATAGGAGGTCATGTGACTCAGGGGGAGATAGCTTCCAGGAAGTGTTTGTTGCTCACAGCCGTATAATAAAAATCATCACTTTTTTCCTGTTTCCTGGAGTCTTGCCCAAACTCTAATAAGCATCTGATATATCGCTGGAGCGGTGCAGTTGTTATTGGTACACTGAGTGAGGTGTCAGCACTAATGGCGATGTGTGAGCGTCTGTCACACCCTGCTGTACATACATAGAGATCTGCAGGCCCATCTCTGGTTGTAGATGAAGAGGGGCCAGCGTTACGCGTGTGGAACAAGCTCACTAAGTGCCTTCTGCCTAAATTAGCAAGGCACTTTGTCTTGTGTAAATATAGTAGCATGTCAAAGAGTCGCGTTAGGAAGAATTGTAGAGGCCCAGGTGCCAAGTCATATAGGTTTTTACGCTTGGATAAATGATTCAAATTTAGCTTTGTTTATTGTGTGAAAATGGGCGTGCTGCAGTTATTGTTGTGGATGTACTCCACTTAAAAAATAAAATGAAGTGAAACACAACTGTTTGTCCTGTTTGCTCTCTTTTCACCTGTGCTTTTTTCTGTCTTATGTTTCAGACAGTACAGTCGCATAAGCCTCACTTCTTGGCACTGCATTGTCAGGAGGTGGGTGGGAAGAATTTCGAGGAGTCCATGTCACACGTGGATAATTTTGTGAAGTAAGTGTTGTGCTCATAAGTTTGTCTGATAGTTTTTTGTAGTGCTATAGACCGTGCAACACCCCCTGCAAAATTTTAGCCATTTAGGTCATATCTCAACTTTTTTTGCGCTAGTTTGAACTTTGTTTTTTGCTTATATATGACCTGGTGTGTTCTGTCCCTCAGAGAGCTGTTGTCCAGCGATGCCTTGAAGGAATACAGCAGAGCCCGCGTCTACCTCGATGAGAACTACAGATCCCAGGAGCATTTCACAGTGAGTGGCGTTTGATAGATTGTATCGGCTGCTGTGTGGATTTACCCCAGTTGTGAAAGTGTCTCCTGCCTCATTTCCATCTCTGCCATCCCCTCTCTGTCGTTCCTTGTTTTTCTGGTGGTTGCCCTCTGTTCCCCTCTTTCTACCTCACTTATTCTCTAAAGTGGTCAAATGATGTGTATCAATGAAAGAGGTGCAGGAAATGTTGAGTTAGTATAAGCATGGTAATGTAGAAACTTTAACAAAGCTGATAAGCACTTATACTTATTAAACAGAAGGAGTAAGAAATATTCTTGGTTAATTTTTGCTGTTTTAGCTGTTTTAAAAAAAAAGATCTTCTACTTTTCAGCCACAATATCGATCGTATTAAAAAAAAATCTTGATTTCAGTGGGTGGCATTTGATGGCGGTAAGCAAACACTGCTAACTTAGGGTGTAATGTTTTCTTGCATCAGTGCAGAAGTTGATGTGAGTCAGTCAACGCAGCTTAAAAGGCAGTGAGTGCTTTGACTGTTCACTTTATTTTCATTGGCTCTCTTGCATGAATTACATGCTAGTGATGATTGGATTTCACCGGGATTATGCTAAATTATTATTATGCTAAAAACAATATTGAGTTTCCTTGCTAGGAGGCAAAGTGCCATTCCTCTGCACTCCTTCAGATGTACATGTATGATAAATACACAGAAAAAGAAGGATTGTTTGTTATAAGCTTACATCTGTTGTGATAGGGATGGCTAACTAGCTCAATCATTTGGTCTGAATCTATTTTTATTGCTCAACGTGAAGATTTGGTACTGGATTTAATCATCTTTAATACACTTAGGATGTGTAGCCACAGAACAGGGCCAACGCAGCGGGATGGAGAACCATTCACACTCACATTCACACCTACAGCGATTTAGAGTCACCAGTTAACCTAACCTGTGCATGGCTGGAGTACCTGGAGAGAGCTCACTCAAGCACAGGGAGAATCATGCAAACTTCACACAGAGCGAGGCATCAACGTAGAACTCCATTAGCAGACAGTTTGTACCCTAAAAATTATGAAAAAATTTCTTATTAACTTAGCTTGAAGCTTAAAAGTTCAATTCAGTTTTATTTATACAGCACCACATCACAACAATAGTCGTCTCAAGGCACTTTATATTGTAAGGTAGAGCCTACAATAATAGTACATACAGAGAAAAGTGCAGAGGTCTATTAACACATAGTGAATGAGAAAGGTGACTGAAGTAGAAACACATAATGCATCATGGGAATCCCCCAGCAGCATACACCTATTGCAGCATAACTAAGGGAGAATTCAGGGCCACTTGATCGAGCCCTAACTATATGCTAACAATTCAGCATATATATAAAATTATATGCTTTGATCCACACAACCCCACCACTGCCACCACCTGCTCTTTACACATTTCACATGAATTCTAATGCTATCAAGAACATTTGATACGTGCCAGTGCAGAAGCAATTTTGTGATAAGTGACTGAAATGGCACCACAATATCCTCCTAAAATAGGACACTGTGGTGGTATTTTAGTCTGTGGTTGGCATTGCTCTGTTTGTTTTCTGTAGATAGAACATGAACTAAAAAGCTGTCGCACACCATGTAATTGTTACATATGAGCTGAGTGTGTGGAAACGGACAACCGCATTACCTGGTTTTGGTTTGATATGAGTGCATAAATGAAAGATGGAGTGACGCAGCAGCAGCTGTGACACAGCTTTGCACCTGCGTTCCTACAGCCAAGTGTCACCTAATGTGATACATGACACTCACGTTAACTGCTCACATTGTAGGAGCCGCCTTGCTCAGTTTTCCTAACACCTGCAGTAAACGCAGATGACCACAAGATGGCAGTAGAGATCTGGAACTCAGCTGAGCTGAGGCTGGAAGTGCTTGGGGATTGTTTCAGTACTGATTAGTAAATCATAGATTCCTAAACGTGAGCTGGGATTTATAAACAAAGCATATTTCAATTAAAAAAAGAAAAAAAAAGTGGAGAAATTGTCCTGTTTCGTACATGTTTATGACCTTAAAATCGACACTTATAAAATCATTTTTCTTCTCAATGACTCTTTCCATACCTCCTCCTGCTAAACAGCTTCTGTGCCCTCTAGGTGGAGCCAAATGCTCAATTGTAACACCAGCAGCAGAGGATTGAGTGCTGCTCTCTCTCCACATAGAAGCATGTTTTATGTTGTAGCGTTATGGCTGATAGTGACCAGGCTGCAGGTGCATCAGATGATGATCTCCGCGTTCCCAGGAGATTATGTAGATAGACTATAAAATAACATATGGATGTTGTCCAGTTATGGACCGTGCCCCCAGACCCAGTTTGTCTGTGATCGCTGCCTGCGTCTACCTTGGATCTCCTCAGTACTTTGTGCGTTATCGCCACGCTACACTGCACCTCCACAAACGCTCATAAATCACAGCACCCACTGAGTCACATTTGCTCTTTTCAAAAAAATATTACAAACACTGGCCTTTCCCAAATCTAATTATCTGCCATTTCACATAAGCGCCGCTAATATCCCAGCATTATGATCTGTTTATTTAATGGTGTTTGTCTATGGATTAACCTTTTTTTCTTTTCTTTTTTTCCACCATTTTTTATATTTTAATTTTCCTCAAATACAGACGGCAGCTTGTGCTCGTCTTTGTGAGTCAGTCAGCGGAAAGAGAAACATCTGATGTGCTTTCGATGATGTTGATATTGAAATCCTGGCAACAGTAAATATGAATAGACTCTCCAGTCTTTCTCACACAGGGCTTGCCATTTAGCTCTGATGACATCACCTCTATTTGTTTTCTCAGTCTTCGATCTTTTTTTTTTTTTGTTCCCTCCTCCCTGTGCTCTGGGGATAATTGTTTGTTGTCTGCCCCGCTTGTCAATTTTCAGATAATGTAAGTGGGAACACATTTCTGGGTCCTGAGATTCCACTCGGTGTGAGTGTGTGCTGCTGTGTTTCCTGCATGCACCCGTGTATGTGTATGCATATATGTTTGTTTTGGTGTTTTTTGGGACGAGACGAGTGACTGTTTTGGATGATTTGTGTTGTAGTGTTACAGGTGTATGTTAAAGGCCAACGTGTGTGTGTGTGTGCGTTTGAGAGTGAATGCAAAGGGGAATGCAATTTATAAATGCGTTGACATGAATGCATGGAGCCCTATAATAAGACGGTCAATTTATTCCCTTGCAGTGGTTGATTTATTGCAACTTGATGATTCATCTAATGCCTAAATCAAGAAAATATGATATAAAATTTGTCTTTTCTTCCCAGTTTTTAGCTATTTTTTGCAAACAATCTGTACTTTTGCTTTTTTAAATGAAATATTTCAATATGCTCCTTTGAACAATGGATGGATTTTTTCCAGTAAATAAGTAGAATATTAAATTGTAATAATTCAAGTCATAAGCATGAACACAACTGATGAAATGTAAAGAAATATAAAGCTAAAAAAAAAATCTTTTTAAACATATAAATAATGACAAGTAATGCAAAAATAAAAATGTCGAAGCCTAATTTAGTTTTTTATAGGAAAGACTTGGCTTTTTTCATTTTCATAATTTATTAGAATTATTTAGATTCCAGTCCTCACATCTCTTAAAGCATCTTTCCAATAATTGCTAGATAATAGCACCGTGTAATACCTGCATGTCAAATCTGAAAAATCTGAACAATGAGAAGCCGGGCGAGCTGGTAGCTCCTCCTCTCCTCCCAGAGGAAGGTGGCGGTACCTTGACTGACATGTTCCCCCCTACGGCTGAGCCCCGGCCTGGTGTTTTACAGCCCTGTTAAGGTATACAGCAGGTAAAATGTCAATTAGGAAGGCCCGCCCTGATAACTCAACTCCCAATCCACTTGTTCTTGGCCATTAATATTTATCGTAGGCCTGGCCCTGGAGCTGCAGCCCATGTCATCTGGAGTGACGTGCGCTGATGCTGATGCTGCTGCGCCCCGACACACACTTTGCTCTGGTGTCTCTGCAGCTTGCACAGAAAGGACACCTACCGCAGTCACACAAGCCTAATCAAGCTGTCCACACAGAGCAGGCACACGGCGCCTCCTCAGCCCTCAGTTGTTCCGGGGCATTTTAATGGGAAATTAAAGGCTTCTCTCATGTCTGTGGTCTGCAGGACAGGAATGAGAGCAGAGAGTAGAGGATAAATCAGGCCTCGTGCTTTGACAGGAGACCGCTGTCTCTTTTTATGTTTTGTGTTAGCACTTTGTCCTGCTTTGTTTTTCCCTTGGATTTGTGTCCTTGAACGTGAAGATGAGACAAATCTGCTGTGCTTGTTTGATTTGATCAAGTGTATCAAGTTGATACAAACTGCAAATGGTGACCCAGCAGAGGCAACATTTAGCATGAATCTTAAATCGTTTGTATTTGAGTGAATTTTTATTATGATTGCATTAAGCATCTTAGTTTGTTTGGAATAATGGAGCAGAAGTTGTGTTTGTGGCTTCAGAATGAGTCTTATAACCACCAAGGTTGAGTCCTCTCTCAGGTAAGCCTGGATTCTGACAAAAATACATTTACAGTAGAGCCCAGCTTTGCTAAGTAGGACAGGATGACAGTGGAAGCCTTGGGTCAAACTAATTTGTATGAAATCTAATTTCATATGTATATTGCATTTGAAGCTGGGCTGCACGGTGCAGTTGTTAGCACTGTCACGTCATGTAAGAAAGCTTCTGGGGTTTTAATCTGCTAGTCGAATTTGCGGGGGCGGTTTTCTGTGTCTGCTCAAATTTCCTCCGGCCATCCATGCTTGTTAGGTTTATTGGGGATTCTAAATCGGCTGTACGAGTGAGTTTGTGTTTGCATATCCGTCTGTCTCTTTGACTTTGTCCTAAGACGGACTAACGACCTGTCTGCGTTTTACCCCACACAGACAGGAGTAGACTCCAGCACAGTGCAAACCTCTGTTGAGGCACAAAGCCACTGCAGTACGGAGTGTATGCCCAGAGGAGAAATACTGGGTGTAACTA